CTCATGTCAGTAAGTTACTGCAGAAATGGGATCACTTGCCCTATAGAATGATCCACATTGTTAATTTAGTGTTGTTGTCCACAGAAAAGAAGCCATAATCTGTAAAAAAAGTTAAAGAGGTTATTCTCTTTAAATTTGAGAGCCAGCCTTGGCGCCTGTGGCTCAAGTGACTAAGGTGCCAGCCACATACACCTAAGGTGGCAAGTTCAAATCCAGCCCAGGCCCGCCAAACAACAATGACGGCTGCAACCAAAAAATAGCTGGGCGTTGTGGCGGGTGCCTGTGGTCCCAGCTACTTGGGAGGCTGAAGCAGGAGACTCGCTTGAGCTCAGGGGTTGGTGGTTGCTATGAGCTGTGATGCCACAGCACTCTACCCAGGGTGATAGCTTGAGGCTCTGTCTCAAAAAAAAAAAAAAAAAAAAAGAATTAAATTAAAAATAAATAAATAAATAAATTTGAGAGCCAAATTGGAGGACCATGACCCAAAGCCACACCCAAGAAACCTTGGCCAAGTTGACTCACTGTGGAGTTACAGTTGGTTTTACATGTTTTAGGGAGATAAGAGTTACAGGTAAAAGTCATAAATCAATACAGGGAAGACATATATTGGTGTGGCCTGAAAAAGTGGGGCAGCTCAAAGCAGGAGCCCACAGGTTATAGGTGCGTTTAAAGATTCTTCAGTTGGCACTTGGCCAAAAAAGTTAGGCTTTGTCTAAAAGGCCAAGAATGAGTGAACGGAACTGTTTGAGTTAAAGTAAAGGTTTGTTAATCAGAGACAAAGTACTAGACAGACGCCCAAACTCAAGAGCTGGTTGTGTACATGGCAGACCTGCAGGAGGGTCTTGCATGGCCTTGGGACTGTTAACAAGTCACAAAGGACATCTCTAAGAAGGGAGGGGAACTTGATGGGCACATCTGATCTCCTTTCTCATGGCTAGCAACTCAGTTTGGGGGGATCCCCTTGGACAGAGGGTGGTCCAGTCAGTCAGCTGCTGGGGGAGCCTTAAGATTTAGTTATTTAGTTCACAGTCTGTGTGGTTACTAACTTTAATCACCAAACTTACAAACTGTACTTATAAATGAAACTTTAATTTTGGTTTGTTTACCCTTGTTGATTGTGAAATAAAAACGCCTGAAATGAAAAGTCCAAATACTTGTTCCTCTAGCAATGAGGAACTTCCCTGTAGAAACTAGGGTTCCTTGGAGGCCTGAGGCCAGGTGTGAGACAGGAAGTCGATATTATGACCAGAAACATTGTGTTTTTTTGCAAAGTAAACACCAAAAACAAATATGACAAGGACAATGGACAAAGGAGCCAAATTGATGGGTATCTCACTGGCCTAAACTGTGATAATCCACTCATCCAGACGAGGACTTCAAAGAACTAAAGCACATCAAATACAGGAAAGTTCATAAACATCCTAAAATCTGACTAGAGTCCACGGGTATCCAACCTTTTTTTTTTCCTGTACCACACCATGGAAGAATAAGAGTTATCTTGGGCCACACATTAAATATATAAGCATTAACAAAGAAAGATGATTAGCAAAAAAGAAAAGGTGTAGGTATACTCTTCTGCTTGTCATGATATCTGACACCACAGACAAGCCAAAAAAAAAAGGCTTCATAAAATCAGCATGTGGCCTGCAGGCTGCAGGTTGGACACTCCTGGACTAGACCATGAACCCTTTATTCTAAAAATTGATGCATGGGAAGAAACATTTGTTTTCTTTTTTATAAACCTTATTTTAGGGGACATAAATAGTTGACAGAAATTCCTTCTTTATAGATAAATGCAAGTTAATAAAATAAAGAACCATAGAATTAGGAAAGTATTTTGTTTTGCAACATCGACTGAAATAATAAACCTCAGCAACAGTCTTTAGCAGATGCTAAAACCATCAGGTGAAAGGCTGAGGGGGGACCAGGCTGATGACGAGACATCACGGCACCCCCTCTGAAGCACTGTGCCTGGAAAACTCAAGTTGACGTCAAGCAAGGCTCTGCATCTGACTTTCAGTGTAATAGGAAATACGCAGATAGAAAAACAAACTAGACAATGTGGACTAAAAGAAAGTCTTGAGGGTCCCAGTGGCTGACTAACTGGATCCCCTCTTGGCCAAGGGGGTTCCGAAAACAGTTGCTAGCCATGAGAATGATCAGATGTGCCCCCATCATGTCCACTTCTTAGAGATGTCCTTTGTGACTCCTTAACAGCCCCAAGGCCATGCAAGACCCACCTGCAGGTCCTCAATACACACAACAAACCGCTTGGTTCTGGACACACGTCCAACAGTTCTTCCCTGATTAACAGACCCTTAACTCAAGCATTCGTTTTCACTGACTGCGGGTCTATTCGAGCCTAACTCTTACCAATTGTCAACTAAAGGAGCTTTAAATTCATCTGTAACCTGTAACCCCCCCCACTCTGTGATGTGATGTCCCAACTTTTGGGGGCCAAACCAGTATATGCCTTCCCAGTATTGACTTACGACTCTTACCTGTAATTCCTGTCTCCCTAAAATGCATAAAACCAAACTGAACCCCACCACAAGTCCACTTGCTCAAGGTTTCTTGGCTGTGGCTCCAGGTCATGGACCTCAAATTTGGCTCATAATAAACCTCTTCAAATTATTTTACAGGCTGAGCAGGGCGACTCACACCTACAATCCTAGCTCTCTGGGAGGCTGAGACGGGTGGATTGCCTGAGCTCATCAAGACCAGCCTGAGCTAGAGTGATACTCCTTCTCTTAAAAAAAATACCTGGGCCTGGGTGACATCTGTGGCTCAAAGGAGTAGGGCGCTGGCCCCGTATGCTGAAGGTGGCAGGTTCAAACCCAGCCCCAGCCAAAGACTGCAAAAAAAAAAAAATATATATATATATATATGTACATTTAACTACATTTTATAGATAAATGGAAGTTAATAAAAGAAAGAACCATAGAATTAGGAAAGCATTTTGTTTTGCATCATCGACTGAAATAATAAATCTCAGCAACAGTCTTCAGCAGATGCTAAAACCATCAGCTATTATATATATAGCTGGGCCTTGTGGCAAGTGCCTGTAGTTCCAGCTACTCAGGAGGCTGAGGCAAGAGAATTGCTTTAGCCCAAGAATTTGAGGTTGCTGCGAGCTACAACATCATGGCTCTCTACCAAGGGTGACAAAGTGAGGCCTGTCTCAAAAAACTAAAATAATAAAACAAAGTAAAATAAAAAATTATTTTACAGTGTAGGGCTTCCTTTCTGTTGACAGGACGTCAATTGAATACGTCAGCCTGTAGAGAAAACTTAGTGATAAACACACTCTCTAAATCTACTAACAATATTTATGTCTTTTTAACAAGGAGGAGGCATCAAATAAGTGACAGTTTTGCTTAACCCTACCATAGACCACTGCCTGTGTCCATGATCCCTTTGGAATATGGACAGTAGTGTCCTTTGAGGAACCAAGATCATGCTATTATTGTCATTGTTTAATAGCACTGACAGGGGAGTTGGAGACCAGTGCTGGCAGGTTATGAGCTTGTGTCCTAGAGTTTAAAATTTGCTAGGACACATAGATGGGCAGTCTTCATCCTTGCTAGTTACAAATGTGTTTCTATGTTCACTCCTCTCACTCTGAACTGTTAGAAAAATATACCAAATGTTGAGAAATTCTTACCTCAATTAATAATTAATTGTTTTTCCATGACATCTCATTCTACTGCCCAGGCTAGCTCACTGCAACCTACAACCTCAAACTCCTGAACTCAGGCAATCCTCCTGCTTCAGCCTCCTGAGTAGCTGGGAGTACAGGCACGTGCCACCATGCCCGGCTAATTATTTCTATTTTTAGTAGAAATGGGGTCTCACTCTTGCTTAGGCTGGTCTTGAACTCCTGAACTCAAGCAATCCTCCTGCCTTGGTGCCCAGAGTGCTAGAATTACAGGCATGAGTCACTGCACCCAGTCCTCCAATTAATTTTAGATTTTGTGAATTAAAATCTAATTGTACTGGACCACTTAAATGAATTTACAATGCAATTTAAGAACAAAATAATTGTAAGAACATTTAAATTTAAATTGGAGACAATCTTATTTTAAATCCTTAGCATTTTCAACAGGAGATTAAAAAAGAGAAAAGAATATTTTGATGTCCTCACAGGCTGTGTTCCCTCCGCTCCCCACCACAGTTAACAGACGGACAACAGGGAGGGAAGGACGTGTGGATGTGCTGAGTTTCCCCGCTGACTGGCTATGCTGGGGGAGAGTCTCTGGCTAACACATGGTGCTGTCCAGGCGGTGGGTGGCTCTGCCCCCGAGTGGTCTGCCAGCCCTCTTTCCTTGCCTCAAATTAACAGAAAAACTACTTTCTACCATATCTCTCAAAAGCTTCCCTCTTGTTCAGAAGTAAGAGAAACAGCAAAAGGTTTCAGCTGCAGTGTGGACCCTGCACCCCAGGTACTCCTGTGAACCGCCCACAGAGCCGGCTTGTGGGGACACCGGCAGCACTGGTCCTGGCAGATGGAGATCCCAGAGCTGCTGACACTTGGTCACCCTGGGCCACAGCAGTGCAAAGTGACACAGAATGTGGGATCTGAGCACTGGGGTGAATTCCATGATGCTGGAATGGCATCTGTCAACTTCTCCAGCTGGTCCCAAAGAGGCTGATGTGACCCTTAGGACTTAGGGACATAGTGGGCAGGTATTTGATTCATGGCCAGCTCATATGTTCTGCGTTATTAGGATAAAGAAAGCATGTGAGGGTAGGGGAGAGGGAGAGGGAGAGGGAGAGGGAGAGAGAGAGAATTTCTTAAATCCTGCCTGTGAAAGCGGCCGAGACTCGGGAGACCTCCACAGCGCAGCCCCACCCAGAGCCTTAGACTGACAGCTCGGTGTATCCAGGCCGCGGTTTCCAGGCAACCGTCAAACACCGACGCTGGCCGAACGCGGGTGCTGGGCAGCCTGCAGCTGCGGCCAGCGGACGCCGACTGGGTCCTTGGACTAGCTGAACGCACCATGGCCGCGGCGGGGCCGCTGGACTCGCGCAACGGGGAGGAGAAGAAGGCAGAGGAGGAGGAGGAGGAGGAGGAGGAGGAGATCACTGCCGCTACGCTGCGGGGCAAGACCCGGCCTCCGCCCATCTCGGCGCTGTCCTCCTTCAGCTACATCCCTCCACGGCGCCTGGACCCCAAAGAGCACAGCTACTACTACCGCCAGGGCAAGGTGGGCGGCGGCTGCGGGGGCCGGCGGAGGCAGGAGGGCGGGAAGAGGGGATTCAAGGCCGGAACCGATTCTAGGGACTGGGCCCTGGGGGTGGGGCTCACCGCCCTGGAGGGGCCTGCCCTGGGGTCCAGGCGGAGGCCGTGGCGAGGCGCAGGGAGAAAAAGGGGGTGCAAGGGCAACAGGGACAAGAGGGAGGATGTCTCCAGCCGAGGCACTTAGACCCCAAGCGGAGGGGCCGAACCACGACCGCCAGCGGAGGGCCGAACCCTGGGGAAGAAGCCGGGGGTGGGGGGGGCGCGGGGCGCGCTCAGCAGGCACCGGGAGCGGCGAGTCGGGACGGGTGGAGGGGCGGGGCAGTGCTCAGCTGGGGCCTGGGGTTCGGGATTATGGGGCCAGTAGGGGTGGAATAAGGAGAGGTGCTCTTTGGGGAAGGGAAGGGGAGCCGCTGGGAGGTGGACTTTGGCTCCTGCCGGGAGCCCGAGGTGGCCGCCTTTGCCCAAGATCTGGCGGGCACGGCCTCCTCTGGGGTCTGTCTGCGGCAGCCCGAGGGTGGCAAGGAAAAGAAGGCCGGGGAGTAGTGACCGTGCTCCGGTGGTCCAGGACGTGGAACTGGACTTGGTCCTCTGCTCGCCTACAAACAAACCGAGGAAAACAAGGAGGAAAATCTGAGCCGCCTGCAGGGGCAGCTGGCCGGGGAGTGGTCCTCAGATTCGGGCTGGGGCCTACGCTTCCCGGGGAAGGACCCCGCTGCAGGTCTGCCAAGGCCCAGGCTCCCCCTACCCGCAGCCAAAAGTAGAAGTAGCAGCAAATTCAAAACTGAACCAGGGTCAAATATTCCTTTCTTCTCTTCTGGTCATTGTTCCTAAACGTTACCAATGTGTCTTGCTCAGGGTGCTGTCGAGGGGGGTCTTTACTGAAAAGGAACACTGATAGGGGTCTCTCAGCCTGTGGGGATAACTGGGACAGGCCTTTCATATTCTAGCTACCGGTGGCATAAGTGCCCAGAGAAAGGGAGAAATTAACCAGGTGATTAGGAGAAAGGAGGTCGTTGCCTCCTGGTGTTCAGGTATTCCCACAAAATGCTTCCTTTGTTTCCTCTCTCCTGCCACCCCCCAGACTCTAAATAAACCCCACTCCAGTCTGGCTAGGCACACAGGTGTACTTGCTACACATAGAGTGGGGAGCACTGACAGCCTGGCTGTACCAACAGAAGCGATCGTTTCTAGTTTCAAAAATGCTGTGGGTTGAACTGTGTCTCCTGACATTAGTATTTTGGAATTCTAATCCCCAGTGCCTCAGAATGGGAGCTTCTTTGGAGATAAAGTTTTACAGAGATAATCAAATAGAAGTGAGATCATCAGGTGGGCCTTAATCCAAACTGATGGTGTCCTCGTGAAAAGGAAACGGGTGCCTCTGGAAACAGGCACGCATGTGAACGATGATGTGAAGAGACTGGAGGAGCAGCCAGCCATCTGCCAGCGAGGAGAGAGGCCTGCAGCAGGTCCTTCCTGCAGCAGGTCCTTCCTGCAGCAGGTCCCTCCTGCACAGCCCTGGGGGGCCCATCCTGCTGACTCCCCATTCCATGCTTCCAGCCCCCATGACTGTGAGAGGATGTCTATTGTTTAAGCCCCTCAGCTATGGTGCTTTGTTTGGCAGCTTTAGCAAACTGATACAGCAACCTTAAACCCAGCCTGCTCCCAGGAGGATCTCTTATATCTGAGAGTATCTGTAGCTTTGCTTTGAGCAATATGGAAGGACAGAAGGAAAAGGGGGGCATTTATGTTGAATATATCTTTACAGCTTCGCATTAATTTGTTCTAAGTTCCATCCCTGGAATGCTGTAATGTATTAGAGCAGGAGATGGGAAACTTTTCTTATAAAGGACCAGATAGTAGCTGTTTTAGGCTTTGCAATTCATGTGGTCTCTGTCAAACTTATTCAACTTGTGGGTAGCTCCAGACAATACTAAACAAATAGGTAAGAGATTGGGGTGCTTTAGTAAAACTTTGTTTATTAAACTAGGCAGCTGGCTGATTTGGCCCAGGGACCTACACTCACTGACCCCTGCATGAAAGGGGCACACTTCTGGCCCATTCTTCATCTCCTTCTAAGTCACATCATACCTCTGGTGTGTCTCTTTTCCCTGGTTTTTTTTGGCCCCCAAAACTGGTTCTCCAACCTTGAGATCATTTGGAAATAAGAGGGTGAATTCTGTATCATAGGTTTGCTAGAGGACTCAACTGTACCTAAATTCATTTTAAGTAACTTCAAGGCTTACTTAAGCTGAGTAGGAACAGTACAGTATAGAATTCTCATGCTTAAGTCAATACTATGATGGGAATGTCTTTGCCCTTCAAAATTAATGTGTTCAAATCTTAACTCAAAGGCAATGGTATTTAGTAGGTAGGATCTTTGGGAGGAGAACAGGATGAGGGTGGAGCCCTCATGAATGGGATTTGTATGCTAATAAAAAAGACCCAAGAGATAGCTCCCTTACCCCTTCTCCCCTGGGAATACACAGTGAGAAGTTGCCTTCTAAGCCATAAACCAGGAATCACTCCTTTACCAAACACCAAAGGACTTTCTGACGTCCAGAATGGGGGAGACATAAATATCTCGTTATTAAGTTCTCTAATCTATGCTGTTTTGTTACAAAGGCCTGAACCAACTATTCCATTCAGTTGAGTACTATGTAACACACAGCAGCTTGCTTAGTAGTTAGTTAGTAGCATGGGCTGAGAAATCCTGGGTAAAAATATCAGCTCTATGGTTTACCAGCCTTGGGGACTTGCCCAACTTACACACACTGTCTCACCTTACACATCTGTGAGGCAAACAAGACCAACTTCAAGAGCTCTTACCTGAACTAATTCAATAATAAGAGTAAGGTGGCACATAGTAAGTCCGATGTATAGTTTATTATTATTATTTGCTTCTGGTGGTGGTTATCAACATTTCCTTTCACTAAGTATTGGTTTCCGGTGGCCAGTCTCTCCTATCCCTGACCCTCATTCACTGTGAGAGACTAGCCTAGGTGAGGGCAGGTGATGTGAGCGTCTGCTAGAGCAGCTCAGCTCAGGGAGCCCCCAGGGTTGATGTGCTGAAGCCTGCACACTTATTTAAGGCCTCAGTGATGCCCCTGAACCGTAAGACAAATTTGTTATCTAAAGCTGCCAGCAGAAGTGTGATCAATCCCTGTGCAAGCTGCTCCCTAGGGGGCTCCAGCAGAAGTGTGATCAATCCCTATGCAAGCTGCTCCCTAGGGACTCCAGCAGAAGTGTGATCAACCCCTGTGCAAGCTGCTCCCTAGGGGGTTCCAGCAGAAGTGTGATCAACCCCTGTGCAAGCTGCTCCCTAGGGACTCCAGCAGAAGTGTGATCAACCCCTGTCCAACCTGCTCCCTAGGGGCTCCAGCAGAAGTGTGATCAACCCCTGTCCAACCTGCTCCCTAGGGGGCTCCAGCAGAAGTGTGATCAACCTCTGTCCAACCTGCTCCCTAGGGGCTCCAGCAGAAGTGTGATCAACCCCTGTGCAAGCTGCTCCCTAGGGGGCTCTAGCAGAAGTGTGATCAACCCCTGCGCAAGCTGCTCCCTAGGGGCTCCAGCAGAAGTGTGATCAACCCCTGTCCAACCTGCTCCCTAGGGAGCTCTAGCAGAAGTATGATCAACCCCTGTGCACGCCGCTCCCTAGGGGCTCCAGCAGAAGTGTGATCAACCCCTGTCCAAGCTGCTCCCTGGGGGGCTCTAGCAGCACTGCCTTTTCCTATAAATTACTGTCCCAAGGCAGCAAAGCAGACTCAGCTCAACAGTATTTTTAAATTACATTTTCTTCCTCTGCTTCATTTTCTTCCTGTGCAGTGTTTTTCCTACTGAAATGGAAAAGCTGAGTCAAAGGACAATGCCTCTTTATGAAGGTTTTGATTAGATTCCTCAAAGTCTAAGAGTTATATTAAAGCAAATTTGAAGCAGTTTTTTTAGGAAACATGTTCTGGTTTGCGGGGGGAGCTGTCTAGCTCTGTGTTCAGTGAAGCTCTGTTCTAAAGACTGTCTTAGGCTTGGTGGGTCAGTGGACTCTCTGTGTGTGGTGGAGAGACAGAGGCTGACTGTGTCTGCCTGCGTTATGAACTCTATCTCCCTGATTGCTGAATTTCCCCTTGCCAGTGTGCAGGTGCAGCCAGGCACTTGATAAACAGGCCTGCTAACTGCCCCAAGGTACAAAGGGACCGAACTGAAGGGCCTGCACCACTGCCCAGTATAGGGGAGGGACTCAATACCAGCTCCCCTGGGCCCTCCCTGCACGGAGCCTCTTCACCCATAGGCACCAAGCACATTTACAGAAATACGCTGACCTTCCTAGAGGGCTGCAGGGGGAAGGTAACTCAGTTCTGTTGCTGATCCACTTGTTAAAATCTAGGAAACTTCCTGCTGTCCAGGAGACTCTTAAACTCGGGTGCATTTCAGTTAGAATGTGTGCTAGCCCAGTGAAATTGTGAGCCCTCCCAGGTGTACTGCCATTCCCTGTCCCTTCCCATTTTCCTCCTGTTAGCATCTAACCTACTAAATATTTTACTTAGTTATCTTGTTTTCTTTCTCCCACTAAAATATGAGGTCCATGAGGGCAGAGATTTGCCTTATGACTGCTCTATCCTCAGTAATCAAAACAGCACCTGTCTCGTGGGTGTTTCTCCATAAATACCTATTGCATGAACGAATGAATGCTATTTAAAAAGGGGGATTAAAAAGGGGGTACGTCAATGAATAAATGAAAAGCCATTAAAAAACAAAGGGATACATCACTGATTTATGAGATTACCTTCAATAAGGGTTTGTTCTTGGATTATCTGCTGTTGCCTTGAGAAGCTTCACCCTGGGAGTAGACTTGAATTGTGTCTCTCACTCTGGGCTAGTTGTGTTTCACTATCCAGGGACCTGCCCTGGGAACACTCAAGGCCAGGGAGTGGGGCCAGATCCCTTCCTCCAGGGCAGGGAGATCCTTAGGGAAAGGCAGGAGGGGCTTAGTCCAGAGCCTACTTCCTCCCACAAACCCACCTGTGAAGCAGGAAGGAGTGAAGGGAGACAGGTGTGCCCGTCCAGTGGAATCCTTCCATGTGAAAGGAAACATCAGAAGTGAGGGATATATGTTCCTACCTATCACACCTGGATGAGCAGATGCTCCCTGTCTTTTCCTTGTGTATATGTGTATGAAGTGACTTTTTTTTTTTAACAATACCATATTTACACACTTTTAAATATATATTTGCAGCTTGCTTTGTTTCATTTAAGAATATATCTGAAAACTTTCAAAATTATCCCCGTTTAATCCCCAAACAAATGACACAAGAAAAGAAACAACATTTTCCTGGATAGATTGAACAAGGGGAAGATGTAATATTAGAGTTTGAGGTCCAGCTCCTGGGG